TATGTCTGCATCTAGCATGAGGTACTGAAGTTTGCTTGTTTTGTTTTTCCATATGGAGATAAACTTTTCCCAGCACCATTAATTAATTATTTGATACTTTAATCATCCTAGAACCTTTGTCACAAATCAACATACCATATATGCTTGTCTATTTCTGGACTTTCTATTTTATCCTTTGATCCATATGTCTATTTTTATGATAATACCTCACTGGCATGATTACCATGCCTTTATAATAAGTCAGGAAATTTGGTAGCTTAAATCCTCCATCTCTGTTCTTTTCCTAATGGCCTTGGCTATTTTATGTCCTTTGCATTTCCATGTGAGTTTCAGACCATGGGGGAAGAGAAGGGGAAAAATAGTTGGAGAGAGGGAGGGAGGCAAACCATGAGAGACTCTTGAATACTGAGAACAAACTGAGGGCTGATTGGGGGGAGAGGAGAAAGGGGTGATGGGCATGGTGGAGGGCAGGTGTTAGGATGAGCACTGGGTGTTATATGGAATCCAACTTGACAATAAACTATGAAAAAAAAAGAAATAGCTTTTCATTTTTATTATAATTGTGGCAAATCCCTAGATGAATTACTAGAGAATTGTCATCTTAAAACATTTAGTCTTCTGATCCATGAACATATCTCCATTTATTGAAGACCTCTTTATTTTCTTTCAGCAATATTTTATAGGTATCTGTGTAACAGTTTTGCACAGGTTACAGTAAATTCTCAGTATGTATTCCATTTATTGTACTGCTATCGTAAGTGACATTGAAGAAAATTTCTATTTCCAGGTATTTGTTCCTTGTATATTGGAATAAAAAGGACTTTTCCTTAGATTGATTTTCTGTCCCGCGAACTTATGAAATTGTTTATTATATCTGGGAGATGATTTCTGGCTTTTGCCCCCTAGATTACTATTTTCTCTCTAGACAATCGTGCTTTGTGAAAATAAAGACAGTTTTTTGCTTTCTTCCTTTTCTATCTGTATGACTTTTGTTTCTTTTTCTTCCTTATCAAATAGGACCTCAAATGTAATGTCAAATTAACACAGTAAGAGTGGACATTCCGCAATATTTTGAAACTTATGGGATAAACATTCAGTCTTTCACCATTAAGTACGATGCCAAGAGCAGGTTTTTGGTAGACTAACGTTATCAGGTTCAGGATGTTTCGTTATGCTCTTAAGTTACCAGATTTGTTTTCTTTCATAGTTTACTGTCAAGTTTGTTTCCATATAACACCCAGTGCTCATCCCAACACCTGCTCTCCCCCATGCCCATCACCCTCCTTCCCCTCTCCCCCACCGCCATCAGCCCTCAGTTTGTTCAAAGTATTCTAGAGTCTTTCATGGTTTGCCTCTCTCCCTCTCCCCAACTATTTTTCCCCTTCCTTCTCCATCCCCATGGTCCTCTGTTAAGTTTCTCCTGATCCACTTATAAGTGAAAACATATGGTATTTGTCTTTCTCTCCCTGACTTATTTCGCTCAGCATAACACCCTCAAGTTCCATCCATGTTGCTACACATGGCCAGATTTCATTCTTTCTCATTGCCATGTAGTATTCCATTGTATAGATAAACCACATCTTCTTGATCCATTCGTCTATTGATGGACACTTAGGCTCTTCACATGTTTTGGCTATTGTTGAGAGTGCTGCTATGAACATTGGGGTCCATGTGCCCCTATGCATCAGCACTCTTGTATCCCTTGGGTAAATTGCTAGCAGTGCTATTGCTGGGTCATAGGAGATTTCTAGTGTTAATTTTTTGAGGAACCTCCACACTGTCTTCCAGAGGGGCTGCACCAGTTTGCATTCCCACCAACAGTGTAGGAGAGTGCTCATTTCTCCACATCCTCACCAGCATCTAGAGTCTCCTGATTTGTTCATTTTTGCCACTCTGACCGGCATGAGGTGGTGTCTCAGTGTGGTGTTGATTTGTGTTTTCCTGATAATGAGGGACGCTGAGCATCATTTCATGTGTCTGGTGGCTGTCTGGATGTCTTCTATGGAGAACTGTCTGTTCATGTCATCTGCCCATTTCTTCACTGTATTATTTGTTTTTCAGGTGTGGAGTTTGGTGAGTTCCTTATAGATTTTGGATACTAGCCCTTTATCTGATATGTCATTTGCAACTCTTTTCCCATTCCGTCGGTTACCTATTAGTTTTATAGATGGTTTCCCTTGCCCTGCAGAAGCTTTTTATCTTGATGAAGTCCCAATAGTTCATTTTTGCTCTTGATACCCTTGCCTTTGAGGATGTGTCAACTAAGAAATTGGTGCGGTTAAGGTCAAGGAGGCTGTTTCCTGCTTTCTCCTCTAGGGTGTTGATGGTTTCCTGTCTCCCGTTCAGGTCCTTTATCCATTTTGAGTTTATTATTGTGTATGGTGTGAGAAAGTGATCTAGTTTCATTCTTCTGCATGTTGCTGTCCAGTTCTCCCAGCATCAGTAAAGAGCCTGTCTCTTTGCCATTGTATACGCTTTCCTGCTTTGTCAAAGATTAATTGGCCATACATTTGCGGGTCCAATTCTGAGTTGTCTATTCCATTCCATTGGTCTATGTGTCTGTTTTTGTGCCAATACCATCCTGGCTTGATGATTACAGCTTTCTAGTAGAGGCTAAAGTCTGGGATGGTGATGCTTCCAGTTTTGCTTTTCTTCTTCAGTATTACGTTGGCTATTCAGGATCTTTTGTGGTTCCATACAAATT